GAGTAATAACCCTGGGTTGAGGGCAATCGTTCAGCGCTTGGGAGCTCGTAAATTGCTTAGTGAATACCAGCTGAGCCGCCATGATGGAAGCAACAAATCACGTGACTAGCCTCACTAGTGATCCAGGGTCTGTCAAACATGTTCCCTAAACAAATATTTCACGGCCTCCGTCCTCTGCTTGTCATAAGAGAGATCCGGGTTCAGTCCTAGGACAGAAACAGTTGGCTACGTTTCCATACACCTAATACAACTGTTCACCTGCTGGTAAAATAGGTACCAAGGAGCTTGACACCTAATACCACTGTTCACCTGCTGGTAAAATAGGTACCAAGGAGCTTGACAACTGTTGACCGCAGCATCCTGGGGAAGCCCGGTAATTGGCCATTGGGGAAAAGGGGGGGGGAGAAGTCGATAAGCCTAAATACAGGTTTCCTATCCTCCAGCATAGGGATTATACGGAGATTGAATTGAATTTAGTTTCAATTCAGCAAAAAGTATGTGACTAAGCCCCTTACATATGGCGCTACATAGTCTCCCCGGCTTGGGGAGACTATGACTTCTTTAGATAATCTTGGATAATTTAGATAATTGGGAGACTTCTTTAGATAATCTTGGATAATTGAGATAATTGGGAGACTTCTTTACATAATCTTGGATAATTTAGATAATTGGGAGACTTCTTTAGATAATCTTGGATAATTTAGATAATTGGGAGACTTCTTTACATAATCTTGGATAATTGGGAGACTTCTTTAGATAATCTTGGATAATTTAGATAATTGGGAGACTTCTTTAGATAATCTTGGATAATTGAGATAATTGGGAGACTTCTTTAGATAATCACATACTTAAGCCCCTTACACTCTCCGCTTGTGAGTGGCGCCTCAAGGCTCACAGAAACCTCTCATGTCTTAAACTAAATGTCACTCCTTTAATCTGTTAATTAATATTTTACAATTTGGCTTCTTTTTTTTAAGCAAATTGTAATTATAAATTAATTAGAGGAAGCTTTCATTTCACTTTTAGAGATTACACGTGTGTCTTCCCCTCTCATTGTGGAGTCTAAATCTGCCTATATAAACTAAATAAAATGACAGAGAAAATCTAATTAGAGGTTTTTGGATGGGGAAAATACTGACAGATGAGCCTGCTTTCTCCATTTGTCACTCCGTAAATAATTCAACCTACCGTGGCCGGTGCATTTCAGAGGGCAATATTAGGTAGAGGACGGGTTGATACACGTTCTTATACCCCCACCGACCTCACCACTGTCATCAATATGTCAGATACGATCTCTGTCCAGTTGTCTGTGTCTCCCTTGTCGCTCGACACTCATTCATTCATTTTCTCTCTCTTTGTTTTTTCTTCGTGACAATCACATGACATGTCTGCGTCTACTACGATCACAAACACAAGGCCATGATATAGCTTTGTACTTTATCCCTATGACAGCCAAGCAGGGATCAATATGATATGGATTTTGCCTCCACGATAGCCAAACAAGGGGAAAATTTGGCAAACCTTTATCCCCCCATGCTAATCAATTTGGGAGTTAACATAGTAACATAGTTGTCCCCGGATATTTAAATATAGTTATCCGAAGACAACATAGCTTTCCCAGTGTGATAACAGATGACACATAATGTAGAGAGGTTCCTTTGATAGCCAAACAAGTTCCACTTATGTGATAAGCAAACACGGTGGGAAAGATAACTTAGCTGAACTTGCCTGATAGCCAAACATGGGGACGAATGAGACAGTTGAACTCCAGTGACTGCCAAACATGGGGAAAGACATAACATTGGTGAACATCAGTTGAGTTGTGCTACAACACCACCATTGTTCACCAATGGTGGTTATGGTAAGCAACTCCCGCTACGGTAAACACCATAGCGGGAGAACTACTGGACCTTCTGGTAGTCTGGCCCTGAACAGTTGGGTTGTACTATCAACACAGAACTCGCTATACTTATTTGAAGTGAAAAACTGGTCCCCAATTCTAAACCCACCAAAAAAAAAAAATTGGCCTTGCAAGTTCAACAAAAACTAACAAATTGTGAGCAGGATCTGATAACAAAAAATTATCATTGTAGTTTGGGGCTATAAACGAAAATTATTTGCAGAGTAAGGGGGTAATTTTCTCAGGAAATATAATTTGTGGACAGAAAGTGCTAAGCTGCTACTTTACTACATTTTAGATGGATAAAAGTTTCCAGGCCGCCTACTGCCTCATATGACATGTTTATCCATTGGTTTTACTGGAGAAGGAAATAAGGGTTTGAATCTATTTTAATATTAAAGACTTTTTAATATTAATGATTTTTTTATATGTAATTAATTTTAAATATTTGTAATATTAACAAATATTAATATTTAATATTAATGTCTAATATTGTATCTATTTTAATATATCAAGTGAACATCTCAATGTGATTGTTTTAATAGTACTGATATTGTATTTATTTATCAATATACAAAAGGTGAGAGAGAGAGAGGATGGGGAAGAAAGGGAGAGGGCAATAAAGGGTGGGAGAGTGTGAAGTGGGGGGGGTAGAGAGAGAGAGAGAGAGAGAGAGAGAGAGAGAGAGAGAGAGAGAGAGAGAGAGAGAGAGAGAGAGAGAGAGAGAGAGAGAGAGAGAGAAGGATAATACAGGAACTACTGGGAAAGGTAAAGGTTCTAATATTACCCCCCGGGAAGTCAAGAACGCTGAACTGGCAACTTTGGATAACCTGGAGGGTTGTGGTGGCAGAGTGCGTCCAGTGGTGGGTTGTGGTGGCAGAGTGCGTGTAGTGGTGGGTTGTGGTCATGCATCAGTAAATCACCTCACCAGTGGTGCCAGAGAGTGCCACACCAGTGGTGCCAGAGACAGTACCACACCAGTGGTGCCAGAGACAGTACCACACCAGTGGTGCCAGAGACAGTACCACACCAGTGGTGCCAGAGACAATACCACACCAGTGGTGCCAGAGACAGTACCACACCAGTGGTGCCAGAGACAGTACCACACCAGTGGTGCCAGAGACAGTACCACACCAGTGGTGCCATAGACAGTACCACACCAGTGGTGCCAGAGACAATACCACACCAGTGGTGCCAGAGACAGTACCACACCAGTGGTGCCAGAGACAGTACCACACCAGTGGTGCCAGAGACAGTACCACACCAGTGGTGCCATAGACAGTACCACACCAGTGGTGCCAGAGACAATACCACACCAGTGGTGCCAGAGACAGTACCACACCAGTGGTGCCAGAGACAGTACCACACCAGTGGTGCCAGAGACAGTACCACACCAGTGGTGCCAGAGACAGTGCCACACCAGTGGTGCCAGAGACAGTACCACACCAGTGGTGCCAGAGACAGTACCACACCAGTGGTGCCAGAGACAGTACCACACCAGTGGTGCCAGAGACAGTACCACACCAGTGGTGCCAGAGACAGTACCACACCAGTGGTGCCAGAGACAGTACCACACCAGTGGTGCCAGAGACAGTACCACACCAGTGGTGCCAGAGACAGTACCACACCAGTGGTGCCAGAGACAGTACCACACCAGTGGTGCCAGAGACAGTACCACACCAGTGGTGCCAGAGACAGTACCACACCAGTGGTGCCAGAGACAGTGCCACACCAGTGGTGCCAGAGACAGTACCACACCAGTGGTGCCAGAGACAGTGCCACACCAGTGGTGCCAGAGACAGTGCCACACCAGTGGTGCCAGAGACAGTACCACACCAGTGGTGCCAGAGACAGTACCACACCAGTGGTGCCAGAGACAGTACCACACCAGTGGTGCCAGAGACAGTACCACACCAGTGGTGCCAGAGACAGTACCACACCAGTGGTGCCAGAGACAGTACCACACCAGTGGTGCCAGAGACAGTACCACACCAGTGGTGCCAGAGACAGTACCACACCAGTGGTGCCAGAGACAGTACCACACCAGTGGTGCCAGAGACAGTGCCACACCAGTGGTGCCAGAGACAGTACCACACCAGTGGTGCCAGAGACGGTACCACACCAGTGGTGCCAGAGACAGTACCACACCAGTGGTGCCAGAGACAGTACCACACCAGTGGTGCCAGAGACAGCATATACCTGACATTCACGCCGTTTTTTACCTGTACTTAATTTCACAGGTCCATCAACATGGGTCTAATCGATAGCTTGAAGTGTTATGCATATCATAGTTTAAGTGTTATTGATTTGTTAAAGACTGATGTCTGAATAATGTTTAGAAACCTGTACATCTTTCCAAGGGGAATTGTAGTCAACAATGTTGCCAAGATTAAGAGACTTTCAATTACGTAAGATTATTGACACAACAACTGAGCCACACTCTATGGAGCTTTTTGTGGAGGACTGAGAGAAAACGAATGGATCTCAATATTAATTCGAACGAACGAATGGATCTCAATATTAATTCGAACGTACGAATGGATCTCAATATAATTTGAACAGTTCTGGCGGGGGGGGGGGGATCATTTTAATAATTTTGACAAAAACGTAGTACTAAGTAGAACTAATCTCTCATAAATTAAAGGTTCCTTTCTCATGTTAACAATTCTGACAGTTGAGGAACCCCAGAAGGATGCGCATGGCATCACTTTGTACTACATCTTGGCACTGTAATTGTTTTCAGAAAAATTAAGAAGCTGTAAGTCATGATAATTAACGACAGGTCGTCTGAAGGCAATATAAAAGCTACGATAATATCTTAAGTTAACGCTAAATCCTTAGTCCACACGAGTTCTGAGAGGTTTAAGTCGCTTAAGAAACATCCTGCGGAGGTTTCCTATGAGATGTGTCTCATTAACTTAAGTCCAAGATATTTATGACTCACACGTCTCCACAGACACTCCATTAATATTATAGTTATGAGGGTGAAGAGAATGGGGAACAAGAACCCTTGTTTTATCAACAGAGATAATAAGACCACATTCTACTATTGTCTTGCAAGATGCATCAAGTAATGTTTGGTGTGTTACTGTGTGCCATAATGGGTCATAATACAATTATCATCATCGTAGCAGTCGAACAGTTCCCATTGGTGGAACAGGTATGTCATGAATAAGTTTGTGCTTAAGTATGATGAACACAGGACTTATACATCATCTTGAGGTGTGCCTAGTTCAGATGCACCGTTCTTGTACTCTGAACTCCTCTCAATAGGACACTAGCAAGCCTGTTGGATAGGTAGTTTTTTTATACAATTCAGAAGATAACTTTTAATTCCAAATTCAGCAAGTTGCTCTAATATTATTTAACCCTTGCCTATATGGAACGCTGACTTCCGGCCAATGAAGGCCACTTGTGTGCTATCCTGGGAATGTATAAAATACTCAGCAACACATGTTTGTGTACCACATATGTGTAAACCCATATAGGTTAGGAGCCAATTTATCTTTGACCTGAAACATGAGACGACTGGTAACTACTCTTGCCATGACTCTACACATACAAGACCAGTGATATCTCTACATCTCCGAGAGCTAGGTTTAGGTACTGCGAGAGGTCTTGCCACTTTCTTCAATAGCAAGCGAAGAACATGCAATTTCAATATACAAATATTTCTCATTTTACATCAGATTTACAACGTTCTTCAAGATTGCTGTACCGCAAGAAGCGAGTTAAGACTTTACAAACATATACCCCGCCCTAGCGTCGCCATCTTGGTTACAATGAACTGGTTTCTGCACGGAATATATACGAAAATACCCACAAAAAACAAGACGCGAGAGATTACTCCAACAAGAAAAACTTTTAAATGATAGAAGTACAAAAAGAGACTGTCAGTAAAGAGGGCCAAAGACAAGATAATGGCTGGAGATTACAACAAAGGCTCACACGAAAGGTAATAACAGAGAGAGAGAGAGATGGAGGGAGAGGAGGTATCCCTCAAGGGGAGGTTGTGCAAACCGGTTCAGTGCCTTCACAGCGGGTAGTGATAAGCCCTCTTGCTGTTACCTTACTGTGCATTCCCCCCTTATAAGTTACAGAGTGTAATAGACAGAAGAGCAGGAGGACGGGTAGAAGGAGGAGGAGTTAAGAGAATAAGGTGGATAAGGAGAAGAATGAAAGGCAAAGGAAACAACGAGAGAGTTAGCTGTTAGACGCTATAATAGATTTATTATGGTCAGGTACAAAGGAACACCACAGAAGTCCATGAGCAACACCGCATTTCCTCGCAGTCACTAACAGGTAAGTGTACACACACACACACACACACACACACACACACACACACACACACACACACACACACACACACACACACACACACACAACTTGTGTGTGAGTTTGTGTGTAACAACCACACACAAGTTGGAAGACGGCCACTGAAGCACCAGTATACAAAAAAGAAAGAAATAAAAGGCACTAATAAGAGACCGTTAACCCTAACGTTCATACCAAGCAAAGTGATGGAGAAGGCCCTAAAAAAGAGACTGACTGAACATCTGGAGAGAAGATGTTTTATGATGCTAATCTTGCCCCACGAATCCTGAACAGGATTCGAACAGCGAATCAACAGCATGACATGAACAGGAACAGCATGACCCGGTAACATTCATTAGGCAAGCCAGCAAAAGGCGGGTAAACCACATAATTTTAGTCCCCAAAGGAATTTTGTGCACAAGTTTGAGAAACAGAGAGAAGTGAAGATACTAGATGGAAGTATCTAAGCCACTTTTGACAGTCTGAATGAGAGTCCAGATATCAGAGTGGTTCGATATTGCTTGCAAAGTCCCACAGGGTAAGTACCAGGGCGTATCATGTCCTTGTTGCACGTAAATGCTCTTCCAGAGAGGGTAAATTCTTTCCTATCAATGTTTGCTGATGACACAAAATATATGAGAAACTTATTTCAATTTCAATTTCAATTTCGAGGCCGTCCTCGTGGGAACTGTCCACCACGACCTCTCGTACACCACTCCGTTAAAAAAGCAAGTGTTTCGCCTATCCAGAAACGGACGAACCCAAGCAACCCACCTAACCTATTGAGGCTGACGCATAGGACACGTTACTACGGTGCTTTTAGCTTTACTAATACGTCGCATTGTTTACGGTTTGGACAGTTGCGTGAAGAATGCGACGTTTTAGGTAAGAGTTGGGGTTGAGGCGGTGTTTGGTGGGTAGTGGAGACAACAATATCTGCGGTAGGCTGTTTGTTTATTTAACCCTACGCCTTCCTTCATCTGCCTGGCTCTGTGTCTATCTATCTATCGCTATACTCACCTGGTTGTGAGTGTTTGAGTGACTGCCTGCTTGTCCGTTAATTATCACCCTGACTGACTGACTGACTGTATCTGTGGCTGACTGTCTGGCTGACTCGAGTGCAAAAAAATAGGCAACAAAGAATTATTGACATTTTGTAGGTTTTAAAAACTGGAAAAAGCTAATTTGCATGCAATAAAAGATTCCTTGTAGCCGGGACCAGCAGCCCCAAGATGGCGCCGCCAGGTATGTGTTACTCCATTGGCGCGCACGCACGCACGCGCACACACACACACACACACACACACACACACACAGCCAGACCTGTCCCCAAAAGTCCTCAAGATGATAACATCAGCAGCATTTGCCATGTTAGTCATCATAAGAACGGCCTTTAGAAACTTGTGCAAGGAATCATTTAGAACCTTGTATACCACATGTCAGACCAATCCTGCAGCATGCAGCTCTAGTATGGGGGCCATATATCGTGAAGCATAAAACAAAATTGGAGATGGCTTGGAGGTTTGCCACCAGACTAGTGCCCGAACTGAGGGGCATGAGCTATGAGGAAAGACTGCATGAATTTAACCTCACGTCGCTGGAAGATGGGAGAGTTAGGAGGGATATGATCACCACGTACAAAATTCTCAAAGGAATTGATAGGGTAGACAAAGACACAAGAGGGCACAGGTGGAAATTGAGTGCCGAAACGAGCCATAAAGATATTATAAAAGAATTTGTTTAGTGTATAAATTGAATGAATTAGAAAGCAATGTGGAGGAGGCAGACGCCATACACAGTTTCAAGTGTAGATGCGATAGAGCCCAATAGGATAGGGAATCTGTACATATGTTGATTGATGGTTCAGAGGCAGGACTAAAGAGCCAGAGCTCAACCTCCGCAAGCACAACTAGGCGAGTACGCGCGCAAACACCCCCACACACACACACACACACACACACACACACACACACACACACACACACACACACACACACACACCTTTACGCCCTGTTGATTGACGGTTGAGAGGCGGGACCAAAGAGCCAGAGCTCAACCCCCGCAAGCACAATTAGATGAGTACACACACAGTTTCAAGTTTAAACAGTCTCAGGGGAATTGACAGGGTTATCTTGAGGTTATCTTGAGTTGATTTCGGGTTTTTTTTTAGTGTCCCCGCGGCCCGGTCCTCGACCAGGCCCCCGCCAGAAACATACCAGTTCCATCAAACGGCCTGACATATTGATGCCGGAGCACAGAAACCGTCAATATTACAACGCTTAACATTTATTTTATATGTTGCATTTTCGACGGACTGATCGATAACGTTAAAAATGAGTCGTCTTAAGACGCGAGAACGACTTCTTGACGAGCCTCATCAACATGTTGCTCATGTTGGGGCGATCAACCCGATTCTTGCACGTCTTGTGGTGTGACGTCACTCCCTGGTCTCTTACAAAAGTAACTACGGGCTCACCATAGCCCGTGCTACTTGGGACATTTTGTTCCAAGTAGCGAATCTTTAACATCTTACAAGCAAGTACAAAAGGTTCCCAATTTCTGGAATAGGTCCTCTTAGGCCAACGACCGGCCCTTCTCAGGATGCAACCCACAAGAGTTCCCTAACTCCTGGGTGCCTGTTTGACTGCTAGGTGAACAGATGTATTAGGTGAAAGGAACCTTAGGAAATATTAGGCTCGGGTATAACGGGTTGTGAGCCGACTGCGTTAACCACTGTGCTACAGCTGGGCCTAGTTAGTACGAGCGTCCAGACACTAGTTAGCACGAGCGTCCAGACACTAGTTAGCACGAGCGTCCAGACACTAGTTAGCACGAGCGTCCAGACACTAGTTAGTACGAGCGTCCAGACACTAGTTAACACCAGCGTCCAGACACTAGTTAACACCAGCGTCCAGACACTAGTTAGCACCAGCGTCCAGACACTAGTTAGCACGAGCGTCCAGACACTAGTTAGTACGAGCGTCCAGACACTAGTTAGCACGAGCGTCCAGACACTAGTTAGTACGAGCGTCCAGACACTAGTTAGTACGAGCGTCCAGACACTAGTTAGCACCAGCGTCCAGACACTAGTTAACACCAGCGTCCAGACACTAGTTAACACCAGCGTCCAGACACTAGTTAGTACGAGCGTCCAGACACTAGTTAGCACCAGCGTCCAGACACTAGTTAGCACGAGCGTCCAGACACTAGTTAGCACCAGCGTCCAGACACTAGTTAGCACCAGCGTCCAGACACTAGTTAGCACCAGCGTCCAGACACTAGTTAACACCAGCGTCCAGACACTAGTTAGCACCAGCGTCCAGACACTAGTTAGCACCAGCGTCCAGACACTAGTTAGTACGAGCGTCCAGACACTAGTTAGCACCAGCGTCCAGACACTAGTTAACACCAGCGTCCAGACACTAGTTAGTACGAGCGTCCAGACACTAGTTAGCACCAGCGTCCAGACACTAGTTAGTACGAGCGTCCAGACACTAGTTAGCACCAGCGTCCAGACACTAGTTAGCTCGAGCGTCCAGACAATCATGAGGAGTATCTAGACGCTCCAATAGTAGTGTACCCCAGGGGTGTGTACCCCAGGGGTGTGTACCCCAAGAGTAGTGTACCCCAGGGGTGTGTACCCCAAGAGTAGTGTACCCCAGGGGTGTGTACCCCAAGAGTAGTGTACCCAAGAGTAGTGTACCCCAGGGGTGTGTACCCCAAGAGTAGTGTACCCAAGAGTAGTGTACCCCAGCATACCCTCAGGGCACGGTACACAGGCCCGCCCTGAGCAACATTACCGTCAACCCACCTGGTGAACCAATAACACCCTGAGGCTTGTGCTCCCGTAGACGGCCACAAACCGGGCTCACTCACTCCACACACACACACACACACACACACACACACACACACACACACACACACACACACACACACACACACACACACACTAAGAACTGATTATAATAAGAGGAATCAGGCGAAAGACACTCTGGCCACTTGTTTCTCCCTCAGCCGAGAACTGAACCCGGGGCCCTTGGGACTACGACTTGCGATAAGGCCAGAACACAAACTGGAATTTGAGGACGATATAGTAGACACTGGGATACTGGGACACTATAAACGTTTTGATATGAGGCAAGAGAGGAGGAACGGTGCCCAACCACTTGGACCATCGGGAATCGAACGCCGGCCCTGCAGGAAGCGAGGCCGTCGGTGTGCCAACCAGTTCAAATATATAGACTAATTGGGGTGCAATAAAAAAATCACAAGTACATAAAATTAACGAATAGGAATAATTATCTGTTTGAATCGCACTTCTGTAAATACTTCACTCAAGTAACAGTATTACTGCTACAGTTATGCAGTCCCCGTGGCGCAGTGGTAAGACACTCGCCCCGCACTTCACCAGCGAATTGGCCTGGGTTCGTATCCTGGGCAGGGAGGATTGACTGGGCGCCAATCCTTAATTGTAGCCTCTGTTCACCCAGCAGTGAATGTGCACCTGGTTGTTCAACGATTTGTAAGATCGTATTCTAGGGGAAAACTAGGGATTAAGGACCTAAACGCTATACGTGCTAGTGGCTTTACAAGAATAAAAGGACTATTATATACATAAATATAAAAGAAAATAAAGTTACAACGTTTAACTTTACAGAACCTAAACACTTAACCTAAAAAAAAAAAAAAAATAGGCACTACGGGCTCACCATAGCCCGTGTTACTTGGAACTTTTTGTTCCAGATAGCGAATCTTTAACAACTTAACCCAACCTAATTTAGGTTTAACTATACACCAAATTCTAACATATAATCATATATATGAGCAAATATTTTGTTTTCAGTACACAGTAAGTGGACACTGATGCGTAGGTGTTTGTGGTGGGCGGGTGTAGAGACGAGCTCACCCTGGGGCCGGCAGGAATAAACAAAGGATGTGGGGGCCGCTCTAGCGAACATTTGCCCATTGTTCCTGGCGACGACTCCACAAGACTCTCCTCAGCTCTCTGGGAGAGCGTGCAGCGACGCCATTGTTCTTGAACCAGAGAAGCAAATGCAGACCCAACTACATGCCGGAAAGGAATGGTTTGACCACAAAAATATGATAAAATCAATCCAGCTGTCTCCCATGTTATCTATACCCGGCCCGCGCCTTGTCTCATGGTCATTGTGGTGGTAATTCACACCTAGAGACGCAAGGGAGGTGTGCTTTCTTTCTTTACACAGGAGGGTACAGGAGCAGACGACTGCTGACTCCTGCTAGCAGGCTGAGAGCTTTCCCTTCCCATAGCTCATGGTAAGCCTTACACTAGTAGTTTTACACAGGAGGGTACAGGAGCAGTTTTATGTAGAACACAGCCCCCCAATCTGTTAACAGCCAGCTATTCAATTACTGCTGGGTGAACATAGATGAACAGTTAAGGATTAGGGTTTAATCAACCTCCCCGCCCCCCACCCAGGGCCAGAACTCGAACCCATAGCCAATCGCTGGCGGTGCGTGTGTTACTACAGCGTCACCAGGTAGTTACTGTGAGAAGCACGCCTGCTGGCGCTGGCAGGTAATGAGGCCACCTGGGGCCCAGATATATTCTAAGACCTCATGTGACGGAGCCGTTTTGTGATTTGCAAATGGTGTATAGGTGACCAGCGGGCGGCACGTGGGCGGCACGTGGGCGGCCAGTGGACGGCACGTGGGCGGCCAGCGGGCGACACGTGGGCGGCCAGCGGACGGCACGTGGGCGGCCAGCGGGCGACACGTGGGCGGCCAGCGGGCGGCACGTGGGCGGCACGTGGGCGGCCAGTGGACGGCCAGCGGGCGGCACATGGACGGCCAGCGGGCGGCCAGTGGACGGCCAGTGGACGACCAGCGGGCGGCCAGCGGGCGGCCAGCGGGCGGCCAGCGGGTGGCCAGTGGACGGCCAGCGGGCGGCCAGCGGGCGGGCAGCGGGCGGCCAGCGGACGGCCAGCATCCGGCCAGCGGGCGGCCAGCGGGCGGCACGTGGGCGGCCAGCGGGCGGCACGTGGGCGGCCAGCAGACGACCAGCGGGCGGCCAGCGGGCGGCCAGCGGGTGGCCAGTGGACGGCCAGCGGGCGGCCAGCGGGCGGCCAGCGGGCGGCCAGCGGGCGGCCAGCGGGTGGCCAGTGGACGGCCAGCGGGCGGCCAGCGGGCGGCCAGCGGGCGGCCAGCGGGCGGGCAGCGGGCGGCCAGCGGGTGGAGTGTAAGGCAGTCATCTCAGCAGTAGCTGGAACACTAATCTCATCACATTGTGACAACCATAACATGAGTAAGATAAAGAAGCATCGTCTTTTCCTCCCGGATCAAGAAGCAGTTCCACGGGACTAAGACCCAACCACAGTATAGTGAGCCCTGCACCCCGTGCTACTGCACAACACCTCCAGACACAACTCCCATGATTCAACACATGCCTCACTTGCAACGTCCTCGGTGCCACCATCCATACATACAACGTTACCACAACCTCATTTTTACGCTGTAATAACGTCCCTCGGTGCGTCCCTCTGTGCTCTCAGGGACAAATGGGGGGGGGGGTTAAAGGATTTGACAAATCATTTTAGGCAACTCCTCTTAGCGCCTAGTCGCTAAAGCTGCTGCAAGAATAGTTCAAGCAGTAACGGACACTGAATATACACATACGTGTAGTCCCACACAACCTGTTTACCATCCCGCCACGACTGCACGATGACTATCCGGGTGCTTGTGACTTGTCAGGTCTGCATATTTGAGGTTCTCTTTATTCTGGACACTTGGCTATAGCCGGACTTCTCGTAGTGTCATTGACTGCTTCATGTCTGGCAATCTTTCCCTGTGTCTTACGACAGATGAGACCATGGCTGCCGTATTGGTCTGCCCGTGTATGGCCGCAAATACACCGGTGTTCGGTGGAGATAGGGGCGGCAAGGCGCAGGGCAACACCAATAATTACAGCCCAACGGTCCAGACGGATGTCATGAAATATGTATCTAATAAGGTTGTATTTATACATGTGTTAACATTAACCAATATGTTCATTGGTCCAAACCCATTATGTGCTCTGTAACATATAATCAGGACTGAGAGTGGGACCAAGAAGCTACTTGTTGAAACTAAAACTTGAAATTCTTGGGAAGCGTCCAAGATATATAAGTCGCGGGTGCTTCTTATTCCACACCAGTGAGTGTCTTCACCTTGCCCCCACCAATCACCCTCAGTTAACAACGCAGTAACGAAAATAATCGTTTTCCAAATATTTTTTAACGAAAGACGTTTATAAATACAGTGTATATGACAGGTTCATTCACTATCAAAGCAAACGCGCACACACACACACATATGGGGCCTCGCGGTTGAACGGACAGCGCTCCTAAGTTCGATCCCCGGCAGAAGCAGAATCAAAATGGGCAGTTTCTTTCATCCTGGTGCACCTGTTCACCTAGCAGTAAATTGGTACCTGAGAGTTAGACAGCTACTACGGGCTGCTTCCTGAGGATATGTGGATGTGTGGGTGTGTTAGAGAGAAATATATGTATTCGCCATAATAGAGCAATAACAGACAGGTTAAAAAGGCGGAATCCAAGAGCTAACAGCTCAATTCTGCATGAACAAACCGTAAATACCCACACACACACACACGGAACCAAAGCTCAACCCCCGCAAGCACAATTAGGTGAGAACACACACACACAAAGAGAAGGTACTCCATTGGCAACCCGCTCTCGCACAAGACAGCACATATTTGACTTATTGCTTATAGTCAATATTTTGCTTATGAATAAGTAAATATGCGGTATATTCACAGTTATATTTTTTTCAAGGCACTGACTCTTCCTCCCGATTTACTTTACACAAGTTTTAAATATTAGGAATTTCTTTTTCAGTTTTATTAAACAATAGAGATTTTATACAAAGTTTGACAATATCCTTAGTTACTTTACAATTTATTTAAATATTTTAGTTTTGTTTTATTATTTTTATAAAACTGTAATATCAATATAGGTATAGGTTAAGTACTAATTGTAATTAAGAAGCAATAAAATGCATATCTTAACATACTGAGAAGGTTAGGTTAGGTCGTGGTTTTCTATTCAGCTTTTCAGGTAAACTCAAATATTCACAATAAATTAATATATCACATATGTACTTATTCATAAGCAAAATATTGACTTAAAGCAAGTGCGAGAACGGGTTGCCATTGGATAAGGGAGTACCTAAGCAACAGAAGACAGTGAGTCACTGTGAGGGGTGAGGCCTCAGATTGGCGAGACGTCACCAATGGAGTCCCGCAGGGTTCAGTCCTTGGACAGATACTGTTTCTGATATATGTAAATGATCTCCCAGAGGGTATAGAACCGTTCATCGTTTGCCGATGATGCAAAAATTATGAGGAGGATTAAAACAGCGGAGCCTACAAGATGACCTAGACAGACTGAATGAATGGTCCAACAAATGGCTACTAAAATTCAACCCGAGTAAATGCAAGGTAATGAAACTAGGTGATGGAAACATAATGCAAGATCGTGAAACTAGGCAGTGGAAACATGAGGTCAGACACAGGATACCGAATGGGAAATGCGGTACTTCATGAAACGGAAAGAGAGAAAGATTTAGGAGCTGATACCACACCAAACCTGTCTCCTGAAGCCCACATAAAAAGAATTACATCTGCGGCATACGCGAGGCTGGCTAACATCAGAACAGCCTTCAGGAACCTGTGTAAGGAATCTTTCAGAACCTTGTACACAGCATATGTAAGACCAATCCTGGAGTATGCGGCCCCAGCATGGACCCCGTACCTAGTCAAGCACAAGACGAAGTTGGAAAAAGTTCAAAGGTATGCCACTAGGCTAGTCTCAGAACTAAGAGGCATGAGTTACTAGGAAAGGCTGCGTGAAATGCACCTCACGACACTGGAAGACAGAAGAGTATGAGCAGACATGATCACTACCTACAAAATTCTCAGAGGAATTGACAGGGTAGATAAGGATAAACATTTTAACACGGTTGGTACGCGAAAAAGGGGACACAGGAGGAGACTGAGTACCCAAATGAGCCACAGGTACGTTACAAAGAACTTTTCAGTGTCAGAGTAGTTAACAAGTGGAATGCATTATGCAGTGATGTGGTGGAGGCTGACTCCATACACAGTTTCAAATGTAGATATGACGGAGCCCATAAGGCTCAGGAACCTGTTAATCAGTTGATTGACGGTTGAGAGGCGGGACCAAAGAGCCAGAGCTCAACCCACGCAAGCACAACTAGGTGAGTACACACAAAAGGTATAAGAGATAACATAAGATAAATGAAAGGAATGGGGATTAATGAGGGGAAAGCACTAAGCCATTATGACTATATAGCACTGGGACCAATATATAGTCGATGACAAATCCAATAAGGATTTGGGATGGGACAGCGGGAAGGAATGGTGCCCAACCACTTGGACGGTGGGGAATTGAACGCCGACCTGCATGAAGCGTGACCGTCGCTGCATAAGCCCAAGTGCTTGGGCAGGAAGTAATGAGACAACTAGTGTCATTAGATGACCATAAAGATGTGGGACCAGATGTCACCCGTGTTGTTAACAGAAGTGGCACAGGCCCTCAGAATACCTCTAGCTAGGATTTTTTAGATTTAAATTCGAAGGGAGAGTTACCCAACTGCTGGAAGATGGCAAATGTGATACAAATAAAAAATAAGTGAGACTCGGTACTGGTTATAACTAAAGTTCACCATAAGATATAAGAGAGGTTTACTAAGATATGCGAGGTTCACTATATGATATATGTGAGGTTCATTATAAGATATAAGTGAGGTTCACTATAAGATATAATGGAGGTTCACTATAAGATATAATGGAGGTTCACTATAAGATATAATTGACGTTCACTGTAAGATATAAGTTATGTTCACTATAAGATATAAGTGAGGTTCACCGACCGTTCAAGTGGTTGGGCTCCATTCCTTTCCCTCGTCCCATCCCAATTCCTTATCTTGACCCCTTCCCAGTGCTATATAGTCGTAATGACTTGGCGCTTTCCCTTGATAATTCCCTTCCCTTCTATAAGATATAAGGGAGATTTATTATAAGATATAAGGGAGGTTCACCATAAGATATAAGGGAGGTTCACCATAAGATATAAGTGAGGTTCACTATAACATATAAGGGAGGTTTACTATAAGATATAAAGGAGGAACAGTGTCAAGCGAGATTCACTATAAGATATAAGTGAGGGTTATTATAAGACATAACGTAGGTTCACTAAGATATAAATGAGGTTCACTATAAGACATAACCCCAGGTTCTCCCCCCCCCTACCTCACTCTACAATCCTAATCATTACTACGCCCCTCCCCCCCCCCTCCATCCGCTATCTCCTGATATTCCTCCCTGATATATAAATATATCAGACAATAGATATATCACAGCATTATCATCAATCCATAATTATATATTTCACGTGTCATGGCCCATATAAGCGAGATGTGGGACCAAAAAGAATCCTATCACCTCCTGCTTAATGCATCACTTTATTTTTCTGTTACGGAATCGACCAATCCGTTAAAAAATACGACGAATTAATACAAATTAAAGCACCGGAATATGGACGTTTTCTATCCATCGGCCTCGATGGATTCTGTGGGTTGAATAGGTTTTTTAAGTTTCTGGTTAGAGAAAACAGTTGTATTTATAACGGAGTGGCAAATCTCAAGAGCGGGCAGGGGGTAAGATAACCTACGGGATAAGATAACTACGGGATAACCTCTCGGCCATCTTGGAGGGGTCACTCCGCCCTCACAAAGGAGGACCCTCGACTCATCACCACAGGAAGAAATTTGGTGAATCTGTCACTGTCTTCGAGGTAATTATTTTCGTTGGGGAACTTGACACTTTATGTATGATCGCCTTAAGGAATGGTGGTGGTGGTGGTGGTTGTAGGGTGGGGATAGTGGTGGTTCTAGAGGTGAGAGTAATCGTGGAGGTATGTGTGGTGGTGGGGGGAGGAGGGGGGGGTTAGTGATGTCGGTAGTGATGGTGGTGGTGTAGATGCTATTGACAATGATGCTAATTTTAGTAATAATGAGACTTGCCATGACTGTTCAAAATGGTGCGGTGTTGGTGGTGATAGTGGTGTTGGTGGTGATAGTGGTGGTGGTGGTGATCGTGGTAGTGGTGGTGGTCGTAGTAATGGGACTTGTAATAACTTAATAATTGCATGGCCGTGAAGACAGTGGTAATGGTGGTAATGGTATCACCGATGGCAGGGTGGAGAGTATTTCTGTCGTCTGGGAGAGTAGGCCTACCTCTGAGGCCGTCAGTTGCAGGCCTACCTCTGAGGCCGTCAGTTGCA